CCGCCCTGTATACTGTCACACCGTCCTGTATACTGTCACACGCTCGGCTCCTTGTATACTCTGTACTGTATATTTCCTCCTCATCCATTATCTCAATCCGCAGCGGCTCCTGTACTATTATACTGCGGCTCGGGGGAGGGGGTGACATTCCTCGGCCCCCTCTAATGGGATGAGGGGTCTCCCTGGGTAACACTCCCCCTCCATCTATTTTTTTTACCCGGACTGCCGGCACCACTCAGAACTGACCAGTCCTGAAACACACAGGACAGACTGAAACCCTCCGACCTCCACTGACCCTACCAAGATTTTTAGGGCTACCAGACCCCCAAATTTTCCAAATCACCCCTATAAAAATGATGCTGGGAGTATCAGCGCTGACCCTGGTGACCCTTCTGATTGTCGGGGTGTCCGGACGGCCGTCTCCACAACTCAAACACCTCAAGGTAAGACAACGTATTCCATGTACTATACAATGTGACTTCCCGGTGTGAGGGGGAGGTGAGATGGTGAGAAGGTGAGAAGGTGAGATGACGGGAAGGTGAGATGATGAGAAGGTGAGATGACGGGAAGGTGAGATGACGGGGAGGTGAGATGACGGGAAGGTGAGATGACGGGGAGGTGAGATGACGGGAAGGTGAGATGACGGGGAGGTGAGATGACGGGAAGGTGAGATGACGGGGAGGTGAGATGACGGGAAGGTGAGATGACGGGGAGGTGAGATGACGGGAAGGTGAGATGACGGGGAGGTGAGATGACGGGAAGGTGAGATGACGGGGAGGTGAGATGACGGGAAGGTGAGATGACGGGGAGGTGAGATGACGGGAAGGTGAGATGACGGGGAGGTGAGATGACGGGAAGGTGAGATGACGGGGAGGTGAGATGACGGGAAGGTGAGATGACGGGGAGGTGAGATGACGGGAAGGTGAGATGACGGGGAGGTGAGATGACGGGAAGGTGAGATGACGGGGAGGTGAGATGACGGGAAGGTGAGATGACGGGGAGGTGAGATGACGGGAAGGTGAGATGACGGGGAGGTGAGATGACGGGAAGGTGAGATGACGGGGAGGTGAGATGACGGGAAGGTGAGATGACGGGGAGGTGAGATGACGGGAAGGTGAGATGACGGGGAGGTGAGATGACGGGAAGGTGAGATGACGGGGAGGTGAGATGACGGGAAGGTGAGATGACGGGGAGGTGAGATGACGGGAAGGTGAGATGACGGGGAGGTGAGATGACGGGAAGGTGAGATGACGGGGAGGTGAGATGACGGGAAGGTGAGATGACGGGGAGGTGAGATGACGGGAAGGTGAGATGACGGGGAGGTGAGATGACGGGAAGGTGAGATGACGGGGAGGTGAGATGACGGGAAGGTGAGATGACGGGGAGGTGAGATGACGGGAAGGTGAGATGACGGGGAGGTGAGATGACGGGAAGGTGAGATGACGGGGAGGTGAGATGACGGGAAGGTGAGATGACGGGGAGGTGAGATGACGGGAAGGTGAGATGACGGGGAGGTGAGATGACGGGAAGGTGAGATGACGGGGAGGTGAGATGACGGGAAGGTGAGATGACGGGGAGGTGAGATGACGGGAAGGTGAGATGACGGGGAGGTGAGATGACGGGAAGGTGAGATGACGGGGAGGTGAGATGACGGGAAGGTGAGATGACGGGGAGGTGAGATGACGGGAAGGTGAGATGACGGGGAGGTGAGATGACGGGAAGGTGAGATGACGGGGAGGTGAGATGACGGGAAGGTGAGATGACGGGGAGGTGAGATGACGGGAAGGTGAGATGACGGGGAGGTGAGATGACGGGAAGGTGAGATGACGGGGAGGTGAGATGACGGGAAGGTGAGATGACGGGGAGGTGAGATGACGGGAAGGTGAGATGACGGGGAGGTGAGATGACGGGAAGGTGAGATGACGGGGAGGTGAGATGACGGGAAGGTGAGATGACGGGGAGGTGAGATGACGGGAAGGTGAGATGACGGGGAGGTGAGATGACGGGAAGGTGAGATGACGGGGAGGTGAGATGACGGGAAGGTGAGATGACGGGGAGGTGAGATGACGGGAAGGTGAGATGACGGGGAGGTGAGATGACGGGAAGGTGAGATGACGGGGAGGTGAGATGACGGGAAGGTGAGATGACGGGGAGGTGAGATGACGGGAAGGTGAGATGACGGGGAGGTGAGATGACGGGAAGGTGAGATGACGGGGAGGTGAGATGACGGGAAGGTGAGATGACGGGAAGGTGAGATGGTGGGAATTTGAGATGAAGGGAAGGTGAGATGTTGGGAAGGTGAGATGTTGGGAAGGTGAGATGGTGGGAAGGTGAGATGGTGGGAAGGTGAGATGATGGGAAGGGGGGATGAGGGGAGGGGGGATGGG